CAGTAAACCATAATATACATATGTACATATATATATATATATATATCAGTTATATATCTATCGATCTATCTATCTATCTATCTATCTATCTATCTAGCTATCTAGCTATCTAGCTATCTATCTATCTAGCTATCTAGCTATCTAGCTATCTATCTATCTATCTATCTACCTATCTATCTATCTATCTATCTATCTATCTATCTCTCTCTCTCTTTCTCTCTCTCTGGCTCCCCCAGACATTCCTAGCATCCTACACCGCAAAAAAACTAGGCCCGAAGCCCAAACTCTTCGCAATACCAAAGCCCAACTGCACGGTTGAGCCACATTCGCTTCGATGCGGTTGGTCAGGCTACTCTCCTGCCATCGAGCACAAAACCATAATGCCGCCAATGCCCCCTCTGCACAGTCATAACCTACATGTTTGGCAGCGTCCCAAATTCCACGATCTTAATGTTGACATGGCCGAAGCAGTGCCAAAGCCATTCACCCCAAACAGACTCTTGTCCAGGATCGCTTAGGTTGGTTCTCTTTCAACAGAAACGGGCTTGGGTCAGCCCGAGGCACGCAAACGACACCCGTATCCATCCTGAAACCTCAAGCACGTTCTTTCCGAGGAATTCTGGCAACCCTCGCGCAGGAACCCTACCTCAATACATTCTTGGCAAACCTGAACAGTACACCTCACCACAACACCCTAAATCCTGAGACCTGTTTCCTCGAAACCCGGCCCCGGCCCTGGAGCTCAGTGGCTGCGAGCGATTGTGCAACCATTCACATTTCGGGTAAGCCTGTTATAATATAATATAATATAATATAATATCCGAAACTACAGTAACAGTTCCGGAGCGGGGATCCTATGTCCAGTGATGCAACCCCTGGTTCAAGTCACGAAGCCGGGGGCAGGGAGAGGGTGCAGGTCTCAGCCGCAACATGCAAAGCTCCCCAAGCACAAGGAACTTGCTCGTCAATGCCCGAAAGCTGGGCGAAACTTCGACAACACAAGGGGCTACCCAGCCGCGACCATTCAAAAAAGCAAGACCTGGCTACTACCGAGGAGTCATTCCTCAACCCTACACCGGAAGCCTGCTAAACGACCAAGGGCCCGACAAGGAAGTATGGGGTCCGCCAGTGCTTCTGCACCTGGCATCCGCCAGGGCACAGAAGAGCAGAGTCGTACTGCAGTAAGCCCGAAGTCCTACATGGGGGTTTCCGACAATAGGGGACCCCTAATATAGTAATAGGATCCCTATTATAAGGACCCCAAAATAAGGTACCCTAATTTTCTGAAACTCCCACATCGGAAGCTCTGGAGCCATAAAGCCAAGGCCCTCTGAGTAACGAAGCTCCCTTCAAGACCTGAAGCAGCCTAGACGGCTCCTCCTTTTGTCACAGGCTTCTCCCGCCTGCTCGATCCCTACCTCCCCTTACGTCTGCTCCGGGCTGGTGCCGAAATCCCCATAATCTCCCTGAAGCTGGAATGCTGCCAGCACAAGAAAATCACGGCAAAAAACCGAGGTTCTGCATAGCATCAGGGATCCTCCTCAATCCTGGAGTCCTAGACTGCTCGAGTCCACAGCACCCATAGCCCGGGTTCTGTCAGGTTCTATCCTGTCTAGGACGTAGAACTGAAAGCTCGCGTTGGAAGCTTTTATGGGCCTGCGTCATGCAGCAAAGGTACAGCACAAGATTCCACGAAGCGTAAGCAGATTAAGCCTTCAGGGTCTTTCAGACATGAAGGCACTGCAACTTCTGAAGATTGGGTCAGGTTCCGCTGTAGCACCTTCGAGGCTTCGGGTGTTGTTCGGTTTTACTAAAGGGAACCCCGAAATAGAGCTCAAAAGGGTTCGACTGACGCAATACAGGGGTCTGAATGTTTGGAATAGGGCTTGGGGGTATACTATGCTGAAAATAAGAAGGAACGCCGAAAGCCCTATTCTAATTATTAAGGCCCCTACATTACCTAGAGGCACTAGGAACTCACTGTATGACCCCTGCCTCGCGCTTCGTCTTGAGAGGCTCCTCGTCTTTCACCTCACTGGGAGCTCGGCAGAAACCCTAGGGCTCCAAGCATACAAATAGCCCCTGCTGTACTTTGGAGTCGAAAGTCTATAGATAGTACCTGCTTTGGGGTCTAAAGCCTATGAATAGTACCTGCTTTGGGGTCTAAAGTCTATGAATAGTACCGGCGGTGGGGTCTAAAGACTATAAACATAGATCCTACTTCGGGCTGTTTGGAGCCCCCCCCAAGTAAAAGAGACCCAAGCCTTGCTCTACCTTAACCCCAAAGACCCTACCTTTTTAAGGACTTATATATAGAAGCTATAATAAGGATCCCTAAAAAGGTAGGTTCTTTAGGGTCTAGGTAGCTATTGATGTCAGAACCCCCGCCAGAAATCGGGAAAAGACGTATCGGATCGCAGGTTCAGGCTCGTTAGCTCATGCCACCAACAGACCCTACACCCTTTTTAAGGGGTTTCTGGTTGAAACCGCCATTGAAAAACACCGCAACGGAACTCCAAATAGACCCTACACCCTTGCTGAGGGCTTCTGGTTGAGCCCCTGACCTTTAGTAACCCCGAAAAGGGAGTCTTCTGCAAAGCGGGATTTTCCAAAGGGGCATCTGAGGCACTGGCGTGCCAGATGTAGGGCCCGGCAATCTTCTTCCTGTCAGGAATCGATTTTAAGGGTTTCGGTTTAGGGTTTCGACTCACACACTCGCACAAGGCTGGCATGGTTTAGGGTTTAGGGTTTAGAGGGCTTTTTCCCAGTGGGTGGCTGACCAAGTCGCGCCACAGGAAGTATATAGGGGTGTCGGGGTTCCCCACATGGAAACCTAAGCCCGAACACAAGGCTTGATAAAGCTCTCAGGGGCTGCGGTAGATTCCCTGAACCTTCACCTGTACCTTAAGAACCCAAAACCCACTTTTTTGTAGGTTCTTATTATAAACCCCAATATGGGATTTATAGGGACCCTACAAAAAAGTAGGTTTTGGGTTCTTAAGGTAGTTACAAACCTTTCAGAAGAGTAGGTTCTGACCCCAAATGCAGGGCATGACCCCCTAAACTCTCGGCTCTTGACTCTAAACCCTAAACCCTAAACCCTAAACCCTAAACCACAGCAAACCTAAACAACGTACGGAGCCCTTTCCGCCAGCATTTCATTGAGGTTCAAGGTGCTTGAACCTGTTTCGGGCTTGGGCTCTTGGTGTTTTATCTGGGGGTTCAGAGATTTATAGGGCTTAGGGTTTGGGGTAGGGTTATAGTCCAAGGTTGCTCGCTGAGAAGCCCTACATACTATGACGCATCTACGAGTTTGACAGTTTGTCGACGAAAAGAGCATGCCCACTGTGAGACCTTTCAATTGCTTGCTGGCACAGACTAAAACCCTGCCATTTAAAACCCAATTCCCTCTACGATTATGAAAGCCTTTAAAGGAGCCCTTTTGGGGCGGCGGCTTGCCGGCCATGTGCTCGCTGTGGCTGCGCTGCGGATACACCGTGCTGTACCACTTGGGGTCCTCCCGACAGTTTCGAGGTTTGGTGTTAGAGACAGCGTACTGATAGAGTTTTACTATTACACGGTTCCACAATCGAAGATGTTGTGGTCAAGGTTTCGGGCGGTAATATGGGGGCCGTAATTAACAATTAGAATAAGGTTTTGGGGCCCATTATACTGTATTTATAATAAGTAACCCCGAAAAAATATTGGTAACTATTTAGGCCCCTTTTTTGTAGACACTTCATTTTGGGAGGTTGGTTTCGAGTGGGACGTAGACCCCGGAAGGTGGTGGATCGTCTTCATGGATAGATGCTAGCGAAGTTGAGGCAGCATGAAATTTAACTGCCGTGTTACAGTTAAGTTAGGCCTTATAAGTAAAGCTTGAATCCTAAAGGGCCGCGGAACTACAGTCTGTCCTCAACCCTCAAACCTAAACAACCCAGAACTGCGTTCAGAAAACCAGCACCCGATGGTCAGGAACTCAGGCTTCGTCCGTAGATTGCTGAGGGGACAGAGTTGGAGCCTTTGGCAAAGAGTGGTGGGCTGGCTCAAAGAGGCTAGCTTCGGGCTACGCTCCAGGCTGCGGGCATATATGGCTCAGGATTTCGAGTTACGAACGCGAGACAGAGAAAGAAAGAGAGGGAGAGAGACAGACACAAGGAGAGAAAGGGGGGGGGGTAGAGTGTAGGTAGAGCTGAAAAATTGCATCCCACGGTTATGGATAAGGGTTTAGAGTTGGGGTCGGTCTTCTGCTCTTGAAGTCGGATGCAAGGTCTGATTTTTCAACTTCCAGACGGCTTGGCAAATTCTTGTGAGGTGTGGGAAGGTACGCTGAGGCTCCTGACTCAGACATGCTGTGAAGCTGTGACTGCTCAAAGCCCCGGACCCGAAATGACGAACTCCGCACCAAGGACACAGCTGAGAATTTTTAGAGGCCATCAAGAGCTTGCGATTTTTTCCAGCAGCGCGCCATTTATGGGTCTACGCGGACATTCCGTTGGGACTTGGGCTTGATCCTTCAGCAGGCAGTCCACCATTGCCATGTATAGGAGCTTGACGATACAAGCGTTGCAACTTTGAAGCTCGGGATCTCAACTATGTAGGGGCCGTAAATAACTAGACTAGGGTTTTGGTTTTGGGGTATAGTAAGTATACTATAACTATAATAAGGAACCCCAAAATAGTATGGGTATGTATTACGGTCCCTATATTTACGCCAGCTGCTTGCCCTTCCTTCAGCCGGCAGCTGACTACTCACTGCCCCATCGCCCAGTGATTCACGGAGATCTCCGTCTGGAGCTGCAACGGAGCTACTGAGGATCAAACCCCCTCTCATTGATCTTCTCGCCAATGAGCTGCCAGTAGCTCCTTAGCCAAGCCCATCAGCTCTACGCCCTGTGCCACCAGAACACCGGGTTTGCAACCGATGCGGATCCATATCTATATATATATATATATATATTCATATATTGTATATACAATACTATATATATATATATAGTATATCTAAAGCCTCCAAGGCAGACACATCTATGCTGCCGAAGTCTCCTAAGCCCGAGACGATCACGGCACAGCTTGTAGGATGTGGAGGATAGAAGTACGGGCAGGTTAGGTTGTAACGGGATGTAATGAGTGCTTGGTCTCTGTCTGCCCATCTGTCGCAACTTCGTTCTCTCTCTCTCTCTCTCTCTCCCTTTTTGGGGTTTTCTTGATGTAGGTGGCAATTTCGTTCTCTCTCTCGCTCTCTCTCCGTCTCTCGTTCTCGCCCTCTCCATCACTCTCTGTCCCTCTCCCTGCCCATGCTTGTGTTCATTTGGCTTTGTTGCTGTCTCTGTCGCTCGTTCGGCGTCCGCTCGCACATAACTTGCCAAGGCTCTCGATGTCGATATCCTTGGCAAGGGAGCAAGCAGGAGCTTTGTGCAAAATTGCTCCGCGAGGCTCGGAATCGCTGTCCCAACAGACAAAACATCCCTCAGCCTCAAAAGCCCGACAAGTGAGCAAGAGAACAACCAAACAACGCCGCGGTCTTGGCTTAGGGTTTAGGGTTGCAATAGCAAAAGCAGACCAACAAAAACGGCAAAGACACGATGATAATCGGACCGAAGTAGTAACATTACCAATGATAATCACGAATATCAACGTCGACAGATCATCAGCGAGCATAACAAGTCTAAGTACCATCCACAAGATGCGCCTCTTCACGGCAACCTTCAGAGACAGATTCATAATAATACTAATAATAATAATAATAATAACAAAACGCGTAACCCTAACAAGCACTAAACGGCACCACCACTACCGATAACTATCACAAAAGCATGAAGAATCATTCTCACCATAACACACGGCCAGGCACGACCTTGAATTTCGGATGTACCTCGGGGCCTCGCTGGCGGAAGTACCTTGTAGCAAGGCTTTGAATGTTGTTTTTATGTGGTGGGTTCTAAGTGCCGTATAGTGGGTCTACACATTCAAAGGTTCGTGTTTTGGAGTTTTGGAGGTTTCAAAACGTGTCTTGCAGGGTTTTGTGGGCTTTTCGGGGACTTGTAAGGCTTTATTGGGTTGCACAGGCTTCTTTACCGGGGTCGCGAGGGACTTGAGACTCTTACACAGAGGGTTTAGGTAGGGGTTATGGGTTATTCTTGCTTTAAGGGCCCCTTCCTGTAGGGTTTAGATGGGTGGGTTCGGTTATTCTTGATTTAAGGGCCCCTTTCTGTAGGGTTTAGATGGGTGGCTTCAAGGCAAGGGTTCAGTTGTCAAGAGCTTTGGATTCAAGGTCTGTAGAATGTGGACTCATACAAGGACTCCAGGTTTACATTTTAGGACTCGGGCTTTAGGATAACAGAGGTTTGGATGTTAGAGTTCAGGGTTTGGTCTCAGCTTCCCCGGCTTACATCTTGTGGGTCTTAGGGTCGATATTTAGAGCGTACCTTGAAAACCCAAAACCTACTTTTTCGTAGGGTCCCTATAAATCCCATATTAGGGTTTATAATAAGAACCTAGAAAAAAGTGGGTTAGGGTCGATATTTAGAGCGTATAGCTGTTTTTTCTGCTTGCTGAGGGTTGCAGGCCTTATCCGACATGTCAGAGGCTGGCCTGGGCTCACAACGTATTGAAGGGTTTCGACTCACACACATTGAAGGGTTTAGGGTTTAGGGCTGAGGGGTTGAAGGGTTTGGGGCTCAGATCCCTCGCATGGTTTGGGAAGTCATCAGCTGTTGTTTCCGGTCATCAAAGGGTTGGAGGAGTCTGAAGGGCTTCTGGCAGGTGAGGCATTGTCAGAAACAGGGCGTCGCCGTTCATTTTTTCAGGGAATATCGAAATATCAAACTGGGATCTGGACGACGTCTCAGCTTGTGACGCATGCCAAGCGGCATGTACGGAGCATACCACATGTAGCCGACGACGCTGAGTGCCAGCCTTTGTTGGAGGCGCTGATGGGCTGCAGCTGCAGGTGCCTTACTCCTCTTTTTTGTTCTCTGGGTTTACGGTTTTACAGTAGGCCCGGCCCGCTGATGCTTGCCCCAATCCTGGGGTTTGGGCAGTGTAGGGTCTCGAAAATCGCCATCCTACTTATGGGCCTCCTGCAATGCTGGGCGAGTCGCTAGGCCGGGAACACAGAAGAGACTGGTAACTCCGCACGCAGCGTCACTTCCACGACTCCACACGCACAGTGAAACGAAGCCTGGGCCCCCAATCCGACTTAGAACTTAGGTCTTTCGGTGCGAGAAGGCGAGAATCTGGAATTTGCGTCTGAGCAAGAACAAGATTCAGGGCATCAGTAGTTAGGTCACTTTAGCTGTGAGGGGAGGCTCAAAACGTGCACGAGAAGCAGTGAAACAACATAGTTCACACCCAGGGGCACACCAAAATCGTCGCAAATCCAACTTGAAAAACCCAAGATTTGCCTTGTTTAATTCCACACGACCACAAGCCCCCACATCCATGTCCGTAGCTTCGGTATAAGAAGAATCTGTCGAATCATCCATCTCGAATCATCCATCTGTTGATCACAGCAAGCACCGGTATTGGACTACTAAACACAAACCCCTTGCCTGACCTCAGGGCAGCCAGGACCAATCTGTTTAGGGTTAAGGGTTTAGTATACATTCGAATCGCTTTCGTGGACAAGCATACAGCAGCCTCGCTGCGCCCATGAACCTACTGAGTTCCCTCTACCATTTCATAGACCCCGAGGGACCCATGCCATGATAAGGAAACATATCTACACAGTGCATACGTACTTACTTATCTTCTGTTTGTCGATGATAGCATCTGCCTTTTGTTAACGGATGATGGGCTACTCCAACTGCCTGATACTCCAGCGGTGGAAAGAAAACCCAACAGCCTCAGATTTACGGTCAGCTCGAGCAGCAGCACGCGAGTAATACCGCGGTGGAGGAAGTTTGCCCAAGTTCTGTTCTTGTAGACCTTGGTGTTTGGGGCTTAGCGCTGGATTGGGGCTCCCTGGCTATAGAGATGGTGGCCTTTCAGAGGAGCATCGGGCCTTTTAAGTACGTATATAACTTTGGCGGGAGGTGAAATCGAGGAAAGCATAGTTTGCACTTTTATGCACCGAGGAAGGGCCCTTAGGCACTACTTATACCTGTCCCTGAGCCCTAAACCCTACCTATAGTCTCCATTGTAGTTCCATTTTTTGGCTTAACCAATTATAGATTAAGGATTTTGTAAGGCATCCCCACAAAGGAACTACAATGGAGACAATAGGTACTTATACCTGTCCATGAGCTCTGAAGTGGTTCTTCAAGGCGGATTCTTGGGTCGACCTACACCCTGCAAAGAGACAGCGGCCTGGAACCTGCAAAAACAAACCTTTCATATACTCACATAGTCTATAGTCTCCATTGTAGTTCCATTTTGGGGATACCTTATAGAATCCTTAATATCTAATTGGTTAAACCAAAAAAAGGAACTACAATGGAGACTACAGGTAGTCTATAGCAGTACCCGAGCCCCCAGCCCGGCCCTTCCGAAATTGCCGATGGAACAGCTGGATATGTTCTGAGCCAGCAAGCCTTTGAGAAACCCTCCTAGAACGCTTAGAATAACACACTGATCATCGCCCCCGTAGAAATGGGCCCCGTTGCAAGGCTCAGCAGGCTCGTGACCATGCACGAAATGAGCTGCTCGAGCCCGGGCACAGGCATAAGAAAGCCAAGAAACAGTGAGCGTCTCTGTATTTCTCCAGCTCACCTGAGTGCGACGGCTTGGGGTTGCGAGAGCGGCTCCAGACATCATCGCAACCGATGTGTGCGAAATTGAGCTGGCTTAGCTATGCCTGAATCTAAAGACATCCTGGGTGGGGTAAGTGCTGCATCCATTGCCTTCTGCATGCGGCCGGGGGCACGTGGATGAGGCCGTCGAAGCCTTTCTGTCGAATCTTGTGCCTCAGCGACGGCACAGCTTCAATGAGGTTTTAGGCCGTAGGTGACAAGCCTTGAAATTTTAGGTTTAGAAAGCTTGGGCACCAATTCGGGCTGTGAAGCTTAAGCCTTGGGGTCTGCTCTTACAGCACGGTACCTTGCAGAGTGTGTACAGGAAAACCAAGCCCAAGGAGGGCTTCGGAAGATATTAGAAGCCCTCACCACCAGAAGGTAGGAACTCTCTTCAGCCACCGTTGAGGCAGAACCCGAATACCCTTTTCTGCCAGTCCTTAACCCCTGAACTGCAAACCTTGTAAACTACCCCAACCACCCTAAACCGATAATTCCTACAAGCCGTAAACCTCACCCCGGAGCCAAGGTGCTTGATATTCGTGGCCAGCTCCTCCCAGCGATCCCAAGATACTTCCTTCACCAGCTGAACCTGGGAGCTTAAGACAAGGGTCGGAATAAGTGGAAATAACATGCCTCTGAAGTCCCTGGCAATGTACTATTCACTGCAACGCCTGTAATCAGTTGCGGGCTTAGGGTGGGGAGTACTTGGTTTCGGGGATTCGGTATCACAACATGCACATCCAAAACTAAAATCCCAAGGAGGTCCATGCACTCTAAACTAGCGCCTTCGTGCAGAAAGCCAAAGACCTCCTAAATCCCACACATCCTTGCTTCCCCAATAAGCCAGGAAAATAAAAGGTTGAACTTTCAGATTACTACTACAAGTAAATTCTAAGAGCAGAAAAAGCTTGAGTGTTGGGTATTCGTATTGGGGAAAACTAAGCATCACAATACGCAACCTCTTGCAAACCTGAACACCGACATTCCCATTCAAAACCCTCTCAGAGCGCAAACCCGCCTGACCTTCAACCCACACCCGAGCTTCCTGTGCAATCTGCGGTCCGCGGTGCTGTGGCGAGGTCGTTGACGTCTTCCCTGAGGAACTTCCTGGCTCTCAAAGACTCTTGAAAGGATCCCAATTATGAGAACACCTAAACCAGCCTTACCCAAACCAGTAGAAACATAGAATGGTAGGATGCCTGTTCGGGGATGCTATTGTTAGAGCGCGTTTCATGAAGCTGAGGCCGGCGGCCTCAAAACCCCACCTACCACCTAAACCTTACATGTTCTGCTTCACACTTGCATAGAAAGCTACAGAAGTCCAACATCCGAAACTCCCACTGTTCGACTGTTACACAGTCCTTGCGGGTACAATATTTAGTGACAGTTTCTGGGTTTCGATGAAACTGGTATTGTTTCGCAGGAAGGTTCAGATCTACACTCTTCCTGTCAATATTTTACGTATGGCTCAAATCTCTACTCCAGCATGATGCTCTTCATAAACTACGACTTCTTCGCTCACAATTTGAAACTCCAATGACCCCTCCCAAAACCTGCAACCTAAACCCCAAAGCCTAGACCCCTGAACACCCTAAACCCTAAACNNAAAAAAAAAAAAAAAAAAAAAGGTCTCCCTCCGCACGTTTCGGGCCTCAGCGTCTCCACCCCATCCGCCTCCACGTTTTGGGCTTTGTTCGGGTTTAGGATGGGGTTCTTCTAAGGCTACATCTTTTGAGGCTTTATAAATGGGTTCAGGGGTGATTTTGCTTAGGGTTTAGGGGTTTGGGCTGCCCCTGAAGGGCTTCATAAGGGTTGCTACAAGGGTCACAGGGTTTCGGCGCTTGGCGTCGGACAAACTCCGCGAGGCTCTTGGTGCGTAGTCGGATGATGCGAAACAATCTCATGGAGGAGCCACTCACACGGCAGTTTGAGTTCATGAGGAGACTACCCATAGGCCCCATAGTNNGAACCCCAGAAAGGAACTACTTTGGGGCCTATGGGTAGCGGCACCCTTCGCAAGAGAAGACCATGCGAGGATTGCAATGGGCAGGAGCGAGGCAAGGGTTCAGGGTTACCTATAGTCTCCATTGTAGTTCCTTTTTTTGGTTTAACCAAGTACATATTTAGGATTTTGTAAGGTATCCCCAAAAAGGAACTACAATGGAGACTATAGGTATAGACATTTAGTACGGGCGGGGTTTGGGTTTTGGGTCTGGGTGCAGAGTCTGGTGCTCATGTTCATACAGGTGATTTGTGGTCTGGGTTTGTGGTGCGAGGTGGAGGGCTGCAAATACATGACATAGGGTTTGGCTGAGGGTTGGAAAGTTCTTCCCTCCTACTTAGCAAGGGTTGGAAAGTTTGGAACCAGGGGATCGGGCTTAGGCCGTGGGTTCAGGGTCTACGGCCAACAAGGGTTTGGGATGTAGGGTGTAGGCTCAGGAACGGAGGGGTTTCCTTAGTGATGTACTTTATAAGGGACCTTAGTTCCATTTTTTTGCGTGTTACCCTTGACTTTCTTAGCGATAAACCCTTTATATCAGATGTCTCTCCCGAAAAGTTCTCGTCCAGCGCTTTCTTGCTGGGCTGTCTCAGCGGCACGGGGAGCATGCGTAGCCGATGACCACATTCCCACACCACCCCCCGCCAGGCCCCGCCATGCCCTAGTGATCCCTAGATTCTACGCGGGCTTGCCTCATCGCTCGGAAGCTTCGTCTGCCCAGAATGTGTCCCAAAGCCCTACCAAAGTCTCCATTGTTGTTCCTTTTTGGGGATACCTTACAAAATCCTTAATATATAATTGGTTAAACCAAAAAAAGGAACTACAGTGGAGACTATAGGTAAACCCTATGGTCTTCCCTAAACCCTGAGCCTTACAGTCTACTTGTTTACAGGCCTCCGCAAGGAGCTACAGAGTATCAGAAGTATGTTAAGCCCAAAAGCCCGAGACCTTAAGCTGCACATAGCCCCAGAAATGCTAAAGGTTACCTCGGCAGCTGGAAATTTCGGGATCTCGAGGTGTAGGTTCTAGGACTCGGAGAGCCTTAACTCAGGGACATAACTAAACCGGCAAAACAAAAAGCCCTGTCCTTGATGCAACAGATGTGTTGACGGCTCAGGTTGGGGTCCTATGATCCTAAAACCACAGGCTGTAAACCATGCAAGAGCAGGGTGTCGGATCCCTGGGTAGAGCCTCTCTTGATTGGCTATTTCACGTCTAGTCGGGCTTCAAGCAAAGAGACCTACCCGGACAAGAACATAGAAGCACCTTAAAGCACTTGCCCTAGTTGTTGCTTAGTAGGGTTTATAGGGTTTGTGGCACAATCCTCAACCCCAATTGCGGGCTGCTTCAGGCTCCCGAAAGAGTTGTCAGTGAGAGGTTTACAGCCTCGCAGAACCTTCAAAGTGCCTTGATGCACAAGTAGTAAGCCCATCTTCCACATGCAAGGGTATGTTTGCAAAACCGGAGCCGGACACTACCTATAGTCTCCATTGTAGTTCCTTTTTTTTTGGTTTAACCAAATATAAATATAAATATATGATAATATGTATAAATATATATATATATATATAAAGGATTTTGTAAGGTATCCCCCAAATGGAACTACAATGGAGACTATAGGTAAGAACCATCACGAGGATGCTTCACTTCGGCCTCCAAGCCACTAGATCGACCCTCCTGCGCTGAAGGTCTGACAAGTTGTCTTCCACAACGTTGTTTATATCATACCGCATTATATTATATTACGTTATGTAATATCATACTTATGGTTCTAGTTATTGCTGTTACAACTTGTATGGCAAAAGTTTAGGGCCATACTTTGTTTGGGCGAGATTGAGATCTGTTGGGCTGCGGAGTGTGAGGATCGACTTCCGTGTGCAACCGTCTTCGCTATGCGGCGCTGGATCTAGGGTGCAGGCTTTATTGTGTAAAACTATTCTCAGTCTTACCCTTATGAGTATTCTTATAATGACGATTGGTTCTATCATTGTTGGCTTGGAATGTATTGAATGCTCGGAAACATGAGCTCTAGGAGCAGTTAGGGGGTGAAGAGAAAGTCCTGAACTTCTGGCTGGAATAGCCCTAGGCTCGAGTTCCTTAAAATAGTGGGTGACTAAGGGTTTAGGGTTTAGGGGGGACCGAGACTCCTAAGCCAACATAACATCCTACAAACTCAAGAGGCACCACCATCACAAAAACCAACTGCAACCCTAGAAGAACCATCTACCATCTACAACCTACAAGTCAGCCTCTAAGCACTCTGGACTCTAGACTCCTACACCAAGAAGAGCCATACTGTACCTTAAGAACCCAAAACCTACTTTTTTGTAGGGCCCCTATAAATCCCATATTAGGGTTTACAATAAGAACCTACAAAAAAGTGGGTTTTGGGTTCTTCTTAAGGTAGAGACCCTGTCGACTCCTCCTCATGCACGATGAAGGGCGTCAAGTCCAGACCGAAGCTGAAGACGTGTCGATAGAAACCTCGGCCATGGGACACTTTTGGAGGGCGTTACATGGGAGTTTCAGAAAATTAGGGTACCTTATTCTGGGGGTCCTTATAATAGGGATCCTATTATGTGGGGTACTATATTAGGGTCCCCTATTTTCGGAAACCCCCACATGATAGTCTAACTCAGAGGAAGCACAAGAGATGCAAGAGGCTTGTTATGTGCCTGTAGAAGGGGTTAGGGTTCGAGGTGCGGGGCTCTGCAGCACCCAGCAGAGTTCGCTTACTTCTCCGAGCTGGCGAACTAGGAAGTCGTTGCAAGAGTCATAAGAACAAGACCAGACTGCAACTACAGCAACAGCAACGACAAACCGCTAGAACCTCTATGAGTCTCTGATATTTTGATATTACCATGTAGTCTCTATATAACCATCGCCCTCTCATTTGTGTGTATGTGTGTGTATGTGTTTATGTATGTATGTATGTATGTATGTATGTATGTATGTATGTACGTCCGTATGCACATCTAAATCTGTATCTGTATACAAACAAATACAAACATACACATGCAACATTAAACACACGAACCACAGCATATGCGCGGTTCTGTATGCACACAGTTCTGCACATGTCATGCGCAGCTACTTGGACTGTCGGCTGCCACGAGGCATCCTTGCCACTCTAGCGAGCCATCGACGAGATGAGCCAGCAGCGTCTAGGAAAGCAAGGGAGGAGGAGGAGCCGGGTAGATCCATTGCAAGATGAGCTTTGCACCCGGGGCATTCTTCGGTTGCTAGTTCGGTTTCGCGAGAAGTGCACGTAGTTGTCGATGTATTCAGGGCACGTGTCACCATGTTCGAAACTGATGACAACATGAGTTGTAAATAGGGGTCTCTGCGCTCGATCTTACGTGCCGAAACCATCTACGTTCAGATCTTTTTGACACTCACACTCGGACAAGCCTGGCAAGGTCTGTGCGATAGTGGTTCAGCTCTTTAATTTAAGGCTTCAAGTCTTGCATAGTTGGGCTTCAATGTCCCTATCGGAACCTACGAAGACATCAAGCTTTGATCAGCCTCCCTAAACTCAAAGAAACCTTCAGAAGAATCCCGACAGGATAGCTGAAAAGAGCCTTACAGGGACCCAAAAGGGTTCTCCAGCCCAGGGTGCTGCCTCAGACCCAAGCCCCATGCTTTCTAAATCAGTCCTCGAAGTGACCAAGGGCTTAAGATTTCTTTGGGGTTGACTCTAACCCCTTAACCCTACCTATAGTCTCCATTGTAGTTCCTTTTGGGGGATACCTTACAAAATCTTTAATATATAATTGGTTAAACCAAAGAAGGAACTACAATGGAGACTATAGGTGAACCCTGTCATGCCAGATCCTTGGATTATGTTGGATGCGAGCGAAAGGGCAGTGGACAGTGGACGGTGGCCCGCATAAGGTTTGGAGGGCTTCAGATTTCCTGTGACGCCTTCACAACTAGCACGCAAAGGTGCATGTCGGGGTCGCGGCTTCTGCGACAGGTTACACAGTTTAGTTTTAATGTTTTCAGCAGGTTCTCAGCTTTTATGATGGCTTGGCGGGGCACGTGACACATGAACGTTGCTGGGATTCCAATGTCGCTCTACATACCACAGACTTGGAGCAAGAGCAACCTAGAAGTTTACAACTCCCTCATTGTGACTGAACCCTGATCTCCCTGTGCCCTACATCCTACACCCACTGTGCCCTTCCATAGACTAAGTGCCAATGTCGATTTGAAGTTTACAGCCAACCCAAGGATCTAGAACCCACAAGCCATGTCCATTTCGTAGTCACGAAGGCAGGCTTGGGGGTTGAGCGCCGGGGTTGTGCCAGGCGTCTTGGGTTTGGTTCTAAATCTTAACTGTGTGCAAGGAAAGCCAAAGGCTCACCAAGAGGCCGGTACAGGTAGCATACCCTGGATGCAAAGCTGAACGCTCCTGGCTCCGTTTTTTCTGCTTCGGCTCCCACACTCGCACAAGGCAGGGAAGGCTGCACACGATCCGAGGTTTTGGCGCGACTGAAGCTGCGGCTTAGCTTTGAAGGGGGTCCAAGAGATTGATCCACCGCCAGCAGCCATCGACACTCCAAAATCTGCGCCTGCTGCCCTTCTGTTTACATCTGAAACCCTCTACCCATATCCACAGGCTCCCTGAAAACTTTCGAAACTGGGGTTTTCTTGAAGCGATCAGGAAGCTAGTTGAACTTACCAGACGACGAAAAGCATATAATTATTCACCACATTACCCTATCATGGCAACAGACATTGGGCCCTCAATCCTTTCACATATACCCCAAATATAGGACCTCGGAGGCTGCGCAAAAACGTGGAGGAAGTCGTCAGCATCGGCGTTGTCAGTCATCTGGCTACCAGATTTTGGGCGGTTTCTGCATATTCGGTGCCTTTTGGGGCTCTACGGTTCGCGTGTTGGGGTTAGGGCTACAGGGCTTTTAAGGGTGTTTAAATGCAGTAAGAGTGTAAGTTCTACCACCACAGGCTTCGGAACTGCAGGGATTTAACGAATGCTGACATTTTCTAACCCATACTTTAGGGTTTAGGGGTTTCGACTCACAGACTCGCACGATGCTGGCATGGCAAGAGAAGGTCCCGAGTTTAGGGGTTTAGGGTTTAGGGAGGAATGCACACTCTCCCGGACCCTTGTTCTGGGATTCAAACTGTACGTCTACACTTGAGCCAGGCTCTAGGTTCGGGGTTGATTCGAGTTTCAGAATACCCATAGGCCCCATAGTAGTTCCTTTTTGGGATTACCTTTTTGGATTCTGAATATGAACCCCGAAAAAGGAACTACTATGGGGCCTATGGGTAACGGCTTCATGGCATCGGGTTTACGGCTTTGGGGTTTAGGAGGGACGGGGGGGTGAATTAGGATTCCAGGTCTTCGTGGCGAAGGCGGATCTCAAAAGCAATGCGCGCGTTGCAAAACCCACACAATCTTGATTCCCTTTTGGGTTTGAACACAGTTCGTCCATATCGCTAATACTTTATCCAAGCCGCCACAAACTCCAAAACTCATCTAAAACTTGCATCTCACTGCTAGCAAACACAGCCGTAAACCCAAAACCACGTAAACCCAAACCGCCCTAGGCCCTAGCCCGGCCCCCATAAACCCTCAGAGACAAATACACTACCCTTATAGAAGCAGGGGCCCTGAAAGGAATCCTAAACCCTAAACGCTCAAAAAGGGATTCCTTTTACGGGACCCTAAAAGCGAATCCTAAACACAAAACCCTCCAAAAGGATCCCTTTTAAGGGACCCTAAAGGGAACCCTAAACCCTGTAGATTACTATAGATCCCTTTAAGGGACCCCAAAAGGAATCCCTTTTTTTAGAGAACTACCCGGAAACCAGCGAGGAGCGCCAGGTCTTCCACTCGCGGATCCCCGTAGAACCGCACCGGCGAGCTGTTTGACGCCTGACCTCTTCGGGAATGATACGGTTTAGGGTTTAAGGTTGAGGGAATGATACGACAAGGGCTCTGTGGGTTTAGGGTTGTCTGACCTATTTCGGGAGGGCTACGACAAGGGCTCTATGGGTTTAGGGCTTTTAGGGTTTCGACTCACACACTCGCAAAATGCAGGCATGGCAATAAGTCTTTTAGGGTTTAGGGGTTAGGGATACGACAGGGGTTCGATGATAGAGGGTCCTTAAGAGTTAGAGAGGAGTTTGGGGTTTAAAGGGTTTAGGGGTCTAGGGTTTTGGGCTTCGGGCCGAAGGCTTATAAATTTATGAGGCTTCAAGAAGTACCTAGGGTTACCTTAACCCAAAGAACCTACCTGCTTAAGTCGACTTCTATATAGAAAGCATAACAAGGATCCCTAAAAAGGTAGGTTCTTCAGGGTCTAGTTAGGACTTGAGGTTGACAGCTCCAGGGCTTCAAGGCTGTGGACGTAAAGTTTATTGAGGGTTTCAGTTTGAGGGTTCCTCCCGGACGCCTTCGAGGTTTAGGGTTTAGGGTTTAGGGTTTAGGCCTGTTTTGCTGCATTGCTCAGAGACACGGACTTCGGGATGTGGGACAGGCTAGAAGGAAGGGCTTCATGGGAAAGTGCCCACAGTTTATTTCTGTTCGCCGTTGGTTCTTCGCCTTTCGGTATCTACGTGAAGCAAGGAAGTTCTACCAATATCTCCGCTAAGGAATCGCACAGCAATGTTGCAAAAGGAGCTCATTGTATAACCACCTACAGCCTACTTTCTGCCGGCCACCACTCAATAAAGACAAGTGCGGTTGCTCATGGGTTAGATATTCCCTGCTTTAGATTGAAGGTGCATTGGCTCTCGGCGCGCTTTACATGGTCTCGGGAACCGACGATAAGCCAGGCTCGCGGTGAACATCAAGGCGATGAAGTATGCCGCGAGCATCCTTGAGGTGAGGAATGATCCCCGCTGGGGGGTTTAATGCTTAGGGGCGGTTGCTCTCTGGAAGCTACCAGCCTGACAGACTTGCTGGGAGAATACTATACGGACGCCATGCAACAGGCCAATCCCCGAAACCCGAAAGCTCACACCCTACGAGTGCCCGCTACCACAAAATCATCCTCAACCGTAGCCCTCCTCCCCTTTAGACTTTCCTGGCTTGAGTTCAGGGCTAAGAAACTCTGCAGTCCTCCTCCTCCACCTCCTCACTTCAGCCACAACAACTACTACGACGACGGCTACCACTGCTACCACTGCGACGACCCGGCGACCACGATGGCAACTACAAACATGACGACGGCGACGACGACGTCCAGCCATGGCTCAGGACCAGCACAACTTTGTCTTGGTAGCGCATACCTTGGCCGACATGCTGAAACGGTGTCTTTGTTCTATGTCTCCGGGCTTTCAGTGAGCATGGGCGGTGTTTAGAGTGAATGTAGGTGTCGCTGTTGCATGTTTCTCGTGTCCGTGAAACCGTGTCTACCAAAGCCGACGCAGAATTGGCTCCGGTGTCTTAACTTTGGACGCATCACGTATGCTACTGTGGACCCTAAGGGCCAAAAGCTCTCCACACCCAGCCCCTCTGACAGAATCCATGCTCAGCGTCGACGGATAAGGTCCCGGTCCATCTTCGCGCTTCCCGTCCCAGTTCCGGCACCTGTACCTCAGCAAGGCCGACACGACGTCGGTTGCGATAACAGCTTCACTTAGGGTTCCCGGGCGAATGTGAAGGGAACTCCAATATAGGAACCCGATTCAGAAACTTTGGGTCTTGATTAGGGTTCTGTATCTGGCTCCCAAGATTTTGGGGTTATAGGACCGTGTTTTTTTGATGAGGTTCCTACACTCGTGTAAAATCTATTCAGGGCCCCGATGTTCTGAGAAACCTGCGAGTCGAGCCCCTGACTCCTCCTCACGCAGAACCGAAAGCCAACGGGGCCAACTGTTTCGGCGCTCGCACTCGGACAAGCCAGGCGAGGTTACTGGTCCCGATTGGTGTGTAGTCGGTTGCGGTGAAACACTTCCAAGACTCTTCGGCTCATTCGGATTCTAGGCCTGTAAAGCATAACGCCGATCCCGCCCGAGCTTCCTTTTCAGTGGGGATCTGAATCTTGCAGCATGTCTTGCTCAGAGCTGAATAATCCTTGCTCCCGAACTCTTCTAGAATCAGGAATCCTGTAGATGCCTAATCAAAAAAAATCCACTCTAGCAAGGCACTTGAGGCCGACTCCCCATAGGGCGAGTGGATCCCAGCAGTCTCTCCAAAACTCCCCTTCAAAACCAACTCCTTCGTTCAATTGTACGCACCAGGGAGTAATCTCGGGGCGTGAATAATCAGAATACGGCTTGGGGTTCTTGCTTGAAGGATCGATGAGGGCTTCATAATGCAACCGCCTTATGGATGAGAGTGTTGAAGTATATCACACTGTAGTTAGCTAAACATAGACATAGACAGTACAGGGTCATAACTACCAAATGGGTAGTCGTCAAAATTATGGTCCTTTTGGGGGTACACTAAATAATAGGTGCCGTATTATAATAAGGACCCAAAAAGGACCCATAATTTTGACAACCACCCAAATACTCCGACCCCGGTATCTTCGCACCTCGAACTTATTCGTGACCGAGGCACCTCCTCCCACAGCGATGAGGATCTCCTGCGACAGGACGAACCCCAAAGCCCTCTGAGGCTTCTAGGATGTAGGGTGTAGGGTTCTGAGGCTTGTAGGGTTAGGGTTTAGAGTTTAGAGGTAGGATTTCAGGTTTAAGGTGTTCAGGGCTTCAACGATTTGGGACAGCCTTTGGACCCAGAGTTGGCTGTAGACTTCAGCTTTCAAGATCATGGACCAAATCTGAGAAACAGGGGAGGGGGGGGGTGTTGCTGAATCTTGCGCTCAGCAGAACCAACATACCACAAACCCAGAAATGCCCTTCACTATGGAATTCATCCTGCAAAAGCTATCAGGAAAAACTTCATAGAACTTGACATGCTATGCAAATGGGCCATCATCAGATACTGTTGAAAACCCGAAATCTTGACCCGAATATTGGGCGCTGTGAGCTTTATTACTATGTACGTAACTATACTATACTACACTACAATATAAAACTATATTGAAACAACTACTCTGAAACTTGTAGTGCTTTTGGCACCAATCGTCTCCACTCGAAGCCCCTAGCCTTGAGATCTTTCGCTCTTGAGATGTAGAGTTTGGGGCTTGGGGGTTATAGGGTTAAGAGTTTAGGGATCCTAGAGAGAACCGTAAGACTTAGGGGTTTGGCCTTCGCTATCTTGCCAAGCCAACCAACCTACCTGAGCCTGCAAACTCCTTCATGCCGAATTCTCAAACTCCGCGGCTTGGCGACTCGGGTTTTTTTGGTCATAAGGTTTGGACCCAGCATGACGGAGAATAGTACGGAATTCAACAGCTTAGGGCTCACATTTGCAAAACACGGAACTGGTTTAGGAGTTTAAGTTTAGGGTTCTCGGCTTACCCGAGCCTCCGACATATCTAAACGCAAACCCTGAACCTTAGACCTACCAACATACGATATCAGGTACCAGGACCCTCTTGATTGAAGGAAACTACAGGTGGGGAGTTTAGGGTATATAAGGCTTCTATAAGGCTTCCATAAGGTATATAGACCTTCTATGAGGCTCCTATACCGGTAGCCACCCACCTGAAAATGCCCTTAGACCAAAAAACCCTCTACATCCCCCCGACAACGGACCTTTAAACCCCTGCAAGCCCTAAACTCTAAACCCTAAACCACCCCAAACCAGTTAACCCGGAGTCTTCGGAAGCCCCTTTGGGCGCCTTCGCATTCGGAGAATCCTTCTGGACCTGCGGCTTGGTCTTGACGGTTTCGGCTGGGGACAGTGTAGTATAGTATGGTATAGTATTATTTTATTAGTATTGTGAATGATTAGGTGCTGGTGTTTCGGATGCTGTTCCCGATTAGAAAGTACTTGGGCCCTTCAGGATAGGATCTTGCACCCAATTTTCAATGCTTCGAATAGTCCCTCTTGCTAGTAACTTGTGTACTAGACGACACCGCTATACAAATGCGCAGGAAGCGCACAACCGCGACTGCAGCCACAAAGACTGGAGAGAAAACACCATCCCACAGTTGCGGTCGTCGTCCGAGACATCAACTTCCAACAAGTCTAGCATCTTGGGGCTTCAGGACTTTAGCGATTCATGGTTTCAGGGCTTCCAGAGGCGTAGACTTTTTCCCATTCGCATGGCTAGGCTTAGACCTAGCTTTGAGGGTCATGAAGCTTGCAAATTTGTTGGGGTGTGGGTTCGAAGGTGCGTGGCTTGAAGCAGGTTCGGGCTATCTGCCAAAGAGGTCGCTCCTTCTTGGCCATCACCTTTTTGCAACAGGCTTCGCACTTCGCCCGGGTTGGATAGTATCCACAGAAGTCTCCAAGCCATCACCTAAACCCTTTTTTGCACGAGGTCTCTCTGAAGTGCCTCTAGCAGTATGATCACCTAAACCCTAAACCCTAAACCCAACCCTAAACCCGCTCATCCCACATCTGTAAGTCAGTCAGCTCAGACCAGACTCTCGACATGCTCAACCTTGCAGTATGGACAGCCCACAGGGTCTTAATCTACCCGTTTTCCTAACTCCTAACCATCAAAGTAGGTACCCCAAAAAAGGGGTAGGGTGCGACCCTGCAGGTAAGAAGGAGTTACGAAACAACAAGCTGGGAGGTCCGTCTGACAGATGAGTGGTGGTCACAACTGCGGGGCCCAGTACTTGAGGTTTACAACGGGATTTTAGACGAAGAGTGTTCGGAGATCTTGGGTAGATGTATAGAGACCGTGAGTCTGGGATTGAAGGTGCCAGGCAGTTTCATAAGGCTAGAGAACACGCCGGGCCATGATTCCGTTAATGCGATAGTTAGCTTTAGGTGCGATGGCCTCGTCCCAGTCCACAGCACGATGGCCACGCCAACGCGGGGGACCTGGGCTGACCACTCCAAGTCCTACTTCGTCACCTTAAGCCAAGTCAGAGCCATGTCACGCTGCAGCGCGGCAATACTAGCTCCTATGATGTTATAAGAGAAAGCAGGAAGCTTGGGGCCGCTACAACTTTCCTTTCTGTAGACATAAGGAGTTTCCTATATGAGCACACCTAGAAGGAATTTCAGAAACCTCTAATAGCGAGATGGGATCCGACATCTACACAACTTGTCGCATCACCCAAATCTTCCAATCCAGGCTGCGGGATTCCATCCCCTGGCGAGACAAGGTCATGGAGGGGAATTAGGTGCGCGTCGTCTTCAAGATCCAAAAAATATGTAATCTAAAGAACTAGCCACCTGGGGACTTTTGATGGTGCAGGAATCAGAGTGCGACGATTACTTCGATCGCAAGACAGGCTCAGAGTATTCTGGTACAAGGCAATCCTTTACCCGAAGACGTTTGAAACAACTCCGGGCTTTTCGACTCATAAACCCCAAAGCCAAATCCCTCATGATTCCATATACCCAAAAAGTCGGTTGCCTACTCGAAGGCTTCGTGTTTAAGAGTTTCTGGTCTCACCGTCTTGCCATACAAATCGCACACATGCCCGAAACAGTTCACGGCATCGGGAGGAGGAGGGTCCAACACATCGGCTGAATAGTACGGCTTGAATAGGGTTGTGCCGTATACTGTCATACACATCTTTTACAAGGATTAAACCCTTTCTCACAAGCCAGCATTAACCCCTATCAAATCTTCGAAAACGCTTCAACACACTCGGGGCCCCAATATTAAATGCCAAACGACCCAGTGAGTTCGATGACTAAGGCTACGCTTCGCTCCATAAGGGTCCCTGAGGCAGTCAAATAACGGGTCTATACCCAAAACCCTACACCCGCTACGACAACGGCGTTAGTGCCAGGATTAGGGGGCTTCGGGGGATCCGGGCCTTTAGGGGTTTCGGGGCTCTCGTGGCACACCATCCTAAAGTTTTAAAGCCTAAAAGCCCTAAGATCCATAAAGACTCCCCCGCTTCCTAACAAAAGCTGAGGGGGAGGGTTTGTTGACTCCTGCTTCGCAAGGACGGGCGCACATGGGTAGTTCTCTAAATTAGGGTCCATTTTGTCTCCCAAGTATAGTAGGGCCCCCTTATACCAGGACCCCAAAAGGTACCAAAATTTGGAGAACTACCCACATGGCAGAGTGAGGGCCGAAGGTTCACCGTTTCGACTCGCTGCTCGAGAAGCTCCCGTAACAAAATCTCAGGCATGGCCCAGGCAAAGAGGAGTCGAGCCTCGTTCTCGGTGGGAAGGAGCCAAGGCGTCTCCTAAAAGGAGCTGGGTTTAGATTTTACGGGTTCTAGTCGGTGCTTTGGGCGGGATGGTTGATGGGGCTTTGCGTCTATGGTCCGTGCTCTCGGTCCTTTGGGTTTGGGGCTTGTGGGTCTTTGTCGAGGTGTAGCCCTTGGGTTTCGTATAGCTCCGGGTACTTTGAGTCAAAGGCGTCTTAGGTCTTAAGTGCCAAGGTTTGAATAATGGTCGGGTTATATAACATAGGGGCCTCAATAAGTAGAATAGGGTTTGGGGGGTTCATAGTTCATATACCACAATTACAATAAGGAGCTCACACAACCCTATTGAGGCCCCTCCATTAAGCACCAGCAAGCTAAAGCTTACCGACTCAGCCCCTCGGTTGGGGAAAAGCGCTCTCGCACCCAAGGTTCTGAAGTCCCATGGTCCTCGAAAAGCGCTGCAATGGAGACCCCCCAGAAGGATATGAAGTTACAATTCCTTTCCCCAACAAGAGTATCGAACAGAATCAGGAAGCAAGGCATCTAAGGCTTACAGTGTACGGGCCTACAGTATCCATGTCCTCCCCCTCCCCCAGAAGCTGCGGGATGCACTCGAAATCGGCTTTAGACAGTCCCTTGCGGCACGTACCTGCAGCCCCAAACCTGCAAAATGATTAATGGGTCGTAGTTCCATAAACTTATGGACCCTGACCCCCAAAGAAATCATAGGCTTTTGGTCCACCGGTAGATCCCTCAAGCAAAAATGCTAAAACTGCCCCGAACCCAAGGATCCAACGAACCAGCTAAAACCCTCAACTCTAAACTTAGGGTTTAGGGTTTAGGGACAGCTAACATCCCAGAAGGAGTGACCTGAAAACTCGAGGTCCCTAAGGCCTGAACTTGTATGAACGGAGCCCTGGAAAGCATGACAATCAACAAATAAACAGATATAACTACATAAACAGATAGATAGCCTCCTGCTCTTCTCAGAACCCCTAGGGCAAAACCGTGACCCGGTTAGTGTCTGCCAAGTTGCACCAGGCACCGGCGGCCCTGTGCCCACCTCGTATGCATTGCACACCGCAGACCCTCGAACCCTACCTTTCTAAATCTTGTGCACCATGGCGTGCCATGGTGAACACATGGTATGCCGGCACCTTCGAACCCTGACGGCGTAGCACTTCTTGCAGGAGGAAAGGATGATCACACATGCATGGGGCCATGACCGACATTGGCGAGGTCATTGTGGCCTCCTTGCCGACGAGACCGCATGGATGGGGGCGACCCGATAGATGTTTTTTTCTGCCCATCACGTAAACAGTTACCCTAAACCCTAAACCCCAAACCCCAAACCCTAAACCCTAAACCCCAAACCCTAAACCCTAAACCCCAAGCCCTAAACCCTAAACCCCAAACCCCAAACCCTAAACTTAGCTGGCACAATCTCGGAACTTAGGAGATGGACTCCTGGATTCTGAAGCCACATGCCGCATGGCATTAACCTCACTCCAGCCTTCTCCAAACAAAAAGAAGACAACAAATCACGCCACATCAAGGATCTCCGAAGAGTTTAGGGCCTAGGATGTATAGGATTTCAGCACTCGCAGCTGGGACAAGGGTGGGCGAGGTCTGTCTGTAGAGGGCTTTGGGTTTCGGACTGACAGACCGAGACACGTGGCTGCTCCGGTGACCTTCCTGCACTTAATGTTAGGGCCTTAGCTAGAATGGGGTTCCTTTAATGGGATCATTAAAGGATTTCATAAGGGATCTATAATAGGTTTCCAGTTTCGGGTTCTGAATAATTAGAACCGGATTCTGGGGTATATGATACTAGAATCAAGACAAGGAAGGGGCCTTCATAATTAGAATATAATTCGGTGTATATGACACTATAACTACATTAAGGACCCCCAAAATAGTACTGGCAATTGAGTTAGCCCCTAGTTACATTATGGTTGGGGGCTTTTGTCCCGGAGTTTCGAAGGGGGTCACTGTAGGGACTCATATAAAATGCTCTTCTTGGTGGGGAGTACCCTGCAGCATCCAAGGCGGTCCGCAGATTTGGTACTCAGGTCGGGGCGGAGGGCTGTTGATGTTGTTGAGCATTGTGTTTTGATGGTGCTGGGGATCTGGGTTCAGGGTTGACGAGTGTGCTATGTAACCTACCCTTTTTGCATCCAGGCCTATTGCGACTGCCGGGTACCCCTGAAAGGAGACAAAACTGAGGGCCAGGCAAATGTAACCTACCCTTTTGCATCTAAACCCCTAAACCACTTCTGTGGGGCACGGAACCCCTTAACCCGCTAGACCCGGTGCGCATCTTTCGTTGAGACCAGTGTCGGGGTCCGGGAACGAAGCCTGGATTTTAACCTCTAAACTAAACCCTACACCCTTAAACCCTAACCCAAGCCCTGGGCAAACCCAAAAACTCCTCCTACTCAAGGGTTCATATATAAACTGAGGGGTCTCAGATTTTCTTCAAGCTCATGCATAGAACTGCTTCCTGAAGCTTCAAACAGAACTTGAAGGAATCACCTGGCTTCCGTTCTTGCCCGCAAGAATTACATCAACATAGACT